GCGCGTTCGTTAGCACACGCGGGGCCAGAGGGGGGGGAACCGATGAGTCACCTGCTCTTTACGACGCATCGATTTCCCCATCAATCTTCTTTAGGGCCTCCTAGATCCTCCGCTCGCCGCTGCTTTTCCAAATTGGCATCCGCGCCGGCTCCGAGCGGGGGCTGCGGGGGAGGCGGTCGCCCTGGCAACCGTCGCCATGGAGCCCACAGCATCCCCCAGGCCCGCGCCCCCCCTCGCTGCCGTCCTTGCCCGGGGAGGGGTTGTCCTTGCAGGGCCGTTATTGCCCTTGCGAGGGGGACGCGGTCCCCGTGGGGCCGTTCGCAGCGCGCACGGGTGCATCTTGCACCGTGCAGCTCGCACGGGGGGGCCTTGCAGCAGGGGGGTGCCCTTGCATGCTGCACCCTGGATATTGCCCTTGCACAGCGTGCATTGCAGTTGATCGGGGGGTGCTGCGCTTGCAGGGGGGTGATTGCACTTGCACGGGGGTTATTGCACTTGCATGGGGGTGATTGTGCTTGCATGGGGGTGATTGCACTTGCACGGGGGTTATTGCACTTGCATGGAGGTCACTGCACTTGCACGGGGTATTTGCACTTGCATGGAGGTCATTGCACTTGCACAAGGGTTATTGCACTTGCACGGGTTTATTGCATTTGTACGGGGGTCATTGCACTTGCACAAGGGTTATTGCACTTGCACGGGTTTATTGCATTTGTACGGGGGTTATTGCACTTGCACAAGGGTTATTGCACTTGCACGGGTTTATTGCATTTGTACGGGGGTTATTGCACTTGCACAAGGGTTATTGCACTTGCACGGGTTTATTGCATTTGCACGGGGGTTATTGCACTTGCACAGGAGTGATTGCACTTGCGCAGGGTTATTGCATTTGCACGGGGGTTATTGCACTTGCATGGGGGTTATTGCACTTTTGCTCTGCGTATTGCACTTGGGGGGTTGCTCTCGCCCGGGGGTTGTTGCACATGCACGGAGGGTGTTGCACCTGCACGGGGAGTTATTGCACTTGCTTGATGGGTTTTGCAGTAGAACGGGGGTATTACACTCGCATGGGGGTTGTTGCACTTGCAGGGGGTTGTGTTTGCACAGGAGATTCTTGCACTTGCACGGGGAGTTATTGCACTCGCACAGGGGGTTATTGTATTTGCACAAGGGGGTTGTTGTACTTGCACGAGGGTTGTTGCGCTCGCTCTTGCACTCTCCAAGGACATTCCGCATGTAAAATCAGACGTTGCCACCCAGTCATGTCCCCAGGTCCAGCTCTTGTCCCCCAAACCACTGTCCACAACCCAAGACGTGTCTCCAGGTCCCAGCCACCACCTCAACCCCAGGCACGTCCCCAGTTTGCGACACTGTCCCCAACCACAGCCACATCCCTGGGCACAACCCTATACCTGCCACCAGAGAGCCCCCTCCCACGGCCCACACTAGTCAGGTCATCCGGAGCTTTATCCCTCTGCTCACAGCCCTCCCCCAGGGAAAACGAAAGCCCCGAATTCCCGGTAAATGGATCTGGGAGCCGCCTGCGGAGCTGCGTCTCACGTCTCCGGTGTAAATCTCCCTCTGCTCTTCCCAGCGCGGCCGCAACTCCAATAAATATCCCCATTTCCCACTGTCCTGCAGGGAAGATCCCATCAGCTTTTAAATGTCAAGCAGAAAGTAAAGTTTGTCATAAAAAGAGATCGTAAAATATATATATAGATATGTGTGTCTGTGTATAAATACATATATATAAAATAAATAAATAAAAGGGAAAGGAAAACGCTGTGCTGAGCCGGGATGGACTCGGGATGGGAAAATCCTGATTCAATTCCCTCTTTTCAAAAGAAAAAGCTCTGAAATGTTGGCTCCTAAATATATATAGCTATTACATAGGTATATATAGGTATATATATATTAGGTGTAAATATATATTATGTGTGTGTGTGTGTGTGTGTGTATATATATATAGTGTCTGTATCTATCAGCTGGACCTGACGGATACTGGGACCTGCTGTCCCCTCCGGCGTCCCCTGGCTCGCTGGGGTGTCACCCCCTGTCCGGTGTCACCCCCTCTGCACCAATGGGGCCCTCCGGGTGTCCTCGGTGCCCCCGACCCCCCCGCGGCAAAAGGGCAGCCAGGGTGGGGGTGACACCGGAGGGGCGACGGGGACAGGAGCTGGGGCACCCTTAGGGACACGCTGACACCCATAAGGTCGTGGTGACACCCGCAGGGACACGGGGACACCCAGCGACACCCTGTCACCTCCCACTGCTGCCCCCTCCCGGCCCGGCCCGTGCGGGAGCGGGGCGGCACCGGACCCGGAGCTCGGGGCTCGATCCGGGGACCGGGGTCTCAACCCCGCCTCGGGGCGCAGTGCGGCTCCCGGTCCCGGTCCGGGTCCCGGATCGGGTCCGGGATCCCGGATCGGGTCCCGGATCGGGTCCCGGGTCCCGGTCCGTGTCCCGGATCGGGTCCCGGATCCCGGATCGGGTCCCGGTCCGTGTCCCGGATCGGGTCCCGGATCCCGGATCGGGTCCCGGTCCGTGTCCCGGATCGGGTCCCGGGTCGGGTCCCGGTCCGTGTCCCGGATCGGGTCCCGGGTCCCGGTCCGTGTCCCGGATCGGGTCCCGGGTCCCGGGTCCCGGTCCGTGTCCCGGATCGGGTCTCGGGTCCCGGGTCCCGGTCCGTGTCCCGGATCGGGTCTCGGGTCCCGGGTCCCGGTCCGTGTCCCGGATCGGGTCCCGGAGCCCGGTTCGGGTCCCGCTCCGCATTGAGCTCCGTCATTGAGATGCAGCTCGGGTGGCGACTGCGCAAGCGCCGCCGGTACCGGCTGCGGCGGCAGCCGAACCCGAACCGAGCCCGAACCGAGCCGGGGAGCCGAACCCAGCCGCCCCCCCGGTGCCCCCTCCCGACAAGGTCAAAACCAGCGCGGGGGGCAGGAACAATAACGACAATTTTAAGCCAAAAAAGCAGATTTTAAGCAAAAAGCAAAAAAAGGATTTTAAGCAAAAAATAAAAGGATAAAGAAGAACTAGCGGGGGGGGCAGACAAGGGGGGGTGATGGGGGCTGCCGGGGGCGTTTTAGGGGAGAAAAGGGGGGTTTTGGAGCCGCCCTCCCCGCTGCGGAGTGGCGGCTCCCGCGCCGGCTCCTCGCTATTGATTTTCCTTTAATGCCAGTTAATTACGGCCATGATTTAATTAACAGCCGCGCGCCCTTTACGGCTTCCCGCATTAGGGCCATTAATAAAGCGGCTCCC